TATATGTATAACTTTTTTTTTACACGGTAGGAATAACGAAGGTATGTTTCTTTTTTAATGTGTCCCATTTCAGAGCATCTTCAAGCGTTGATGATTGACTAGAACGCCCCTCCTCGATGAGTTTAGCGTCGGAGCTCAAATAAGATGTAGTGTAGTGTGCCACGCAGACTGCCACTTGGCAGGGGCTCCACTTATCTGAGAGAAACATTTTCCAATCTAACATCTCGACCAAGGTGCAAAAATAGCTGGGTCAAAGTTTTGGTACTTGAGCACAATAACTAGTTCGCTCGACTAGTATTATGCTAAACAGAAGTGCATGCATCCTCTTTTCAAATCTCCAAAAAGGTATTTTTAGTTTTAGTAAGAGTTTTACGGTACTTGCAACACAATAAGGTCATATAAAAATACGTGCCGAAGACTAGAGGTGTTACAAGAGAGTAACAAGCACAAAAAAGAAAGAGGAGAGATCAGAACGATAGATCTTTGATAGGAAAGAAGGAGCAAACCACACCATAGCACCCGCCAACAACTCCAAAAAGATAGGATACAGATCGTAGGCCGTGGGTTCAACATACATGTACTATCCCAGTAACGAGTTCTTTATTATAACGAGTTCTTTATCTCAGGTACCGATTGATCTAAATGGATCCCCACGAATAAAATTAGGTTAAAATTGGGTTGTATTGAGCACAGACATCACCGATTTTTAAATGACTCAGCGGTTTTGAAAGGGGCATGAAACCACGCTACACTATAACATTAGCACGAAAAAGGCCAACATATCAATGAGAAGATCAGAATACATGTGTAATAGGAAAACAGAACTGAATTAGAAGGAGTAGATCCCATCGACGCACCCACCAACCAGAACGAAAGTAAGTAATAAATTAGGGCCTATCGGGGAACAATCCCAAATTAGCAAGACAAGCGCCTGTTGCGGATGCGTGTGCGTTTGTGTGTCTGTGTGTGTTTGTATGTGTGTGTGTGTGTGTGTGTGTGTGTGTGTGTGTGTGTGTT